AAGATCGAATGCGAGACAGTTGAAACGAAAGCTCTCTATTTCTCTCCTCCTTCTACACGAGTGGGGCTCCGGCCGAGACCCTCACTCATTCATCCGCTTAGCTAATGCCATACACCATTGCGATTTAGGAAGATGGGCCAATATGAGGGTCCCTGAACCCGCCTGTTCCACGATGCGACCCGACCCACTTCTTAAGGTGCTCTGTCACCCGGGATGCTGTGGACCTCCGCTGATACCTTCCAGGACCTCACGCCAATGCTAACACTCGTAACCCCCAAACAAAACACCCCCCCCTTCCCTCTAGATTTCTCAACCTCCGGCCCCCTTTTCCCTCCCAGTAGTTTAACCCACTCCAATCAACCCATCCGGACCCCTCCCCTGCCTCACCCCACATCCGCCACTAGCCCGCCGCGCTCCACAGTAAATCTCGTCCCATAACCGCCACCTGCCGGCGATTTCTCGGGCCGTGTCGGGCGCTGTTGACAGACACGGCGTCGACCCACACGCGGCGCGGGTTGTGCGGGGTGTCGCAGGCGGCGGAGGGCGGTGGACGCAGGGGGGCGGGGAGGGGGTGGCGTGTCCAGGTGGGAGCGGTGGGGGGGTCGGTTGTTGTTGTTTTTATGAGGAGGAGAGTGCTAGTAGAGTCGGGGGTGGGGTTGTTGTGTGTAGGGGTAATGGTAGCCACTCGGGTGTAGGAAAGGACGTCGTAGTTTGGGGCGGAGGAGAGGGTGGTTGTGGTGACTATGCCGCGGAGGGGTGCGTTTGGGGAGTCGGGGTGGATGGTGAGAAGGCGGATGGTGGTGGGGGAAGTGGATGGTAACGGGGTGAAAGTGTAGAGTGGGATGGACGCAATGTCAATGGGTGTGGTGTTGGAGGCGGGAGTTGGGGGGTTATCGAGCCCGTGGGCGAAATCCAGGTAGTCGAAGAGCCATGTGATGGTCTCGCGGAGATCGCGCAGTTGGTGTAGGAAGAACAGAGGCGTCAACAGTATTTGGGCCACAATCATCAGCCAGAGAACGAGGATGGCGGCCCATGGCAGTATGATACTGAGGCCGATCCAGCGGCCTATTCTTTTGGCGGTTTGCGCCGGCTTTTGCCCTTGGTGGATGCTTCGGGATATGTTGGTGGCGGTTATCCATACCCAAAGGACCGGAGTGAGTGGGATGATGGCGACAGTCAAGACAATGAGAGTCACCGCTATGGGGATAGGGACGAGGTGGAGACTCGCCATGTTGGAGGAGAACATCCTCCTCAATCAACCGGGGCTGGGTCAGCAATCGGGGCCATGGCATCTTGGTTACGACTCCTGTCGGGAGGCGCATGGGAGATTACGGGAAATTGGCCTTCTCTTATCGGCGCCCACCCTCCAAGGCGCCCGTCCTGAGCTCGGACCAACGAGGAGGTATGTACCTGGCAAAGTCTCTTTCACAGGTTAGGAACTTCAAAGCGGCATCCCCATTTACGGTTGTATATTATAGTGTCGGAGCTGGAATTCTGGGGTATAATAATTGACAAATTCAAAGTTACAATGCTGTCCTATTGTACTTGTTTTAGGAAATCCCAAGCAGCAAATTTGGGTGGGCCTGCTACCCAGTGTGGGGACGCACTGACCAAAAAGGCGGTCCCCACCAAGTTATGGTCAAGAAATAAGTTCACATTTGCACCACTCACATTGCAACGACCACAACTCGATCAAGCAATTTGCAAACAAAGTACCGCAAGTATAGCCATTTGATAGGTTTTCAATAGCCGGTATACCAACCCTGTACCCTTTACACTGTAGCTAGCCTACGGGTATCGAATAGACCTGGCGATAAACCTTTACAGTACCCCTACAACACCACCTTCAGGGTAACGGCCACCTTTACTCTATTTGGTTCATTATTGCGGAGCAGCTATAGTCCTCGTACAATCGCTTTTATCTTTTTACAAATATGTTCAATTTAAATTCGGGCTGTGTGGTGATGGTCGGATCCAAATGCCATACGTTTCCAACTACGAACTCTTTTGTCTTCCTTGTGCTAGTTATGGATTTTCGAATTATCCTGAAGATATCTTCCATAAGAACAACATGCCTCCCTGGCGGCGCCCAGCCGACCACATCCGTGCTTCTGTCCTGGCTTGTGAAGTTGTGGCCAAAATCTTGAAGTCGCCCTGAGGCTCTTGCCCTCGAAATCTGAGCATAGCAAGCAAGCCCCCGATCAACTGGCGAAGAGCCCTCCACCCTCCGCCCTCCACTCTCAGTGTGTAGATCAGCCCCAGCAACTCATTCCTCTAGGGCCAGGACAGATGCGCCTTAGGACATGTTAGACAACCAACGGCCACGGTTTGACGGCGAGACGCGCTTGGTGGGAACTCGCAACAGCAAGCAAGCCATTGTTTACTTTGAACTCCAAAGTTTCAGTTCAAACTGCACGAAGCGCTCGGTGCATTCCCGTGTCTCTTCCGCTGTTGATCCCTTGTTTGACAAAGCGTTCAACGCGCTCAACGTATCCGCGATGTCATCCAGCTGATCCCAGACTTGGATAATTAAACTTGTTTGGGGTAACATGGCCTAACGTGGCAAACGCGTGCTCCATGGCAACAGGATGGGCGATATGATCAGCACCGTCATCGGGGATGGCGTTTATGTTGCCCTTGCTTGGGTTTGCCGTCTTAAGGATAAGAATAGTCGTCTTGACGCAGTAGAGAATCATGGCAGCGAGGCCAGCGGCAAGGGCCGTAGCGACACCCGAGCCGGTCTCGTACCTGAAGCCAATCAGTGGCTTTGTGGCATCTCTTTGGAGTGCGTCGTGGCGTGATGAGCTGCCCGCCACCTCCTCCTTGACAACGTCGACGCCCGGTAGGACGTAGTTGACACCATCTTCGGACGTCCACCGGAAAACCGTGCCGTCGGTATTCGCAGCGCCGATGAGGAAGAAGCCTTTACGCCACGGGCCGCTTGGGTAGTCGGTGTGGCTAAACTTGCCCCGGTCGGGCGCGGAGCAAAACATGAGGACCTTGCGGCGGACAGCCTCGTCCAAGACCTTATGCACTAGGTAGTGAATGAACCAACGTTAAAAACCGCGACTCAGGATCAGCGCGCAAGGCTTGGGAGCCGGAAAATCACCCACACTGTTCTCTTGCCCCTTGCTTGTTGATTTGACCCCGGGGAAGAGTCCACGACATGGAAATAAATGTGGCATTCATGTCCAGGGCTGCCTGAATGGCCTGCATATTAGAGATTAATTAGTATATTGGCGTGCTGGACCCAGAGCACTGTAGGGTCTAGCAATAGCTAGGAGGGGATACTTTACCTGTGCTGCAAAGCCTGCGTCTATGTTTCAATTCTTTCCTCCGCCTGTCATATGTCTTCAGGCGGATTGGGTAAATCCTCGCCATGGGACAGACACGTAGAACCATGCGGGCCATAACCGTACCGTAACCCCCGGCCGAGGAATAAGGGGGGCGGGCCTTTCCATTGTGGAAATCGAAGCTCTTGCCTTCGAGAACACGGTTGCCCATCGACCTGTCGAATATATCGACGCCATCGTCGATCAAAGCAACAACAACGTCTTCCTCAATTCGCTCTACTGTACGCTGATGCTGCCTTTATTGGAGGAAATCGCGCACCGTCTTTGGCCAGAAACGATCCATCTCGCCAGCAAATCTAGCTGTAGAATCAAGCCATTGGTGAGAGTTGACCCCCTTTTCTGACGGGGTGGGCTTGGGCGCGTCGCTGGAGACCGCGTTGCGCTGTTCGTCTGTGTGTGAAATGGAGACCACCTCGATATGGCCCATCACTTGGTCCTGAGCCGTACTAAGACGGCGGTGAGCATTCAGTCGAGTCTGAAATTGCTCGATTTTGTTGCGGATCCATTCTGGGCTATCGTACATCTATTCCCCGGCAGGTTAGCCGTCTACATCAGTCAAGGCAGTCTACCTTTGACGATGGATCATGCTTACCTTGTTAGGAGACGGCCCGACGAGATATATAGCCTCTAGATTGGGTAGCATGACTAACCCGTCCTTCTCGCTCCATGCTCGAAGCGCGGCATTATTGCTGCTCCACCTCAAATAGACTTACCTGAGCTGTCGATCTGGCACAGTCTCGGTCTTTCTGGGATTCTCAGTGGCCGGAGCAGCCTTCTCTACTTTACTGCTGACGTGTAGAATCGTCTCCGGATCGAGGTCGGTTTTCCTCCAATCCAGGCTCTCGACAGCAAACTTCTCCAGAAATTCTTGGATAGCTTTATCGCTGTGTACCTTGCCGCTCGAGTCCGGCGAGTCGTCAATCGACACTCGTACAATATGACGGACGCCTTTTTTGTACAGTCACTCGAAGGAATACTTCATGTCTTCGCGCTCAAGCGGCTTCGTTGTCTGCGATTCGGCATCCTGCTCGTGCTCTTTGTCGGCGAGACGACCTGTCCGCTGAACTTCGACTTGGGGAAAAGTCACATACTGCAGCACACTATCAAACGTGAAGCCAGATTGGCTGTCTGCGCCAAACCATCACACGGGGAAGACTGTCGTAATCAAAGCCAATCTTAACATCTATACAACCATGTCAGCATTGAACCCGTCTGCAGACCATCGCTCTGTTGTGGTACCCACCTGCCATATTTTTACCATACCGGCGTCTTCCTGGACAGCCAGCGTTCTATCACTGGCATTGTTGACCAGCAACCTAAGCGTCTCGTCCGAGTCGAGGTTCTCCCTGAAGGCCAAGTGAAGACACGTCTTTCCATCCTGAGCCTGCCTTCTCAGCGCCTCGTCGGGGCACCAGCCATAATCCGTGGATGTTGATGACCGATCCATGCATGCCGAGACCATGTACGCAACAAGTTGGTGGCATTTGTTCCTGCCGCTTTGGATGGCCATGAAAATAGGGTTCTGCTTTTCCTTGTTCCAACCATTCAGCAAAGCCGGGTACTTTCCAACCAGCTTTCGGACGAGAAACTCCATGTCCGCCGGGTTGGTATCCTCGTTGTGCTTCACCACATCAACGATTGTGTGAAGCAGGTTGCCGCTAAGTTCTTCCATGCCAAGACTGGCTTCCCTCTTGTAGGTAGCGACGAAATCATCGCCATCTTTCGCGCTGAACTTTTGCCTTGACTTTATAGACCTGGTTGCGTTCTCGAATTTTTCTCCAGATCTTCGGAACCCAGGGTCCGGATCCATTCCACTGAAATCCACATTGAAATGGAAGTTGCAGTGCAACCCCCGCTTGCCCCACTTTCAATCTATCCACCGAGGGTTGCCGGAGACCCCACCCATTCCATCTGACGGCCGGCAATGTGGACCATCAACATCCGCCTCGGGGAAATTGTTCTCAGGGTTTGGTTCCATGTCGTGCAAGACTCAAATTGCTTGTGCTGCTTTTAAGGTAGGGTAGTCTTTGGATCAGAGTAAAGGGCCAACAAAACAGGACATGAAACAGTGATTGCATGTGCGACAAAATAATCGGCAGGCCGCAGAGACTGGGCAGCATTCACTTGGTTGGGGTGGGTAAGTTCCTTCCCGGGCACAGGTATTGACAGGGCTTAACGGATATTTTTGTCGGTTTGGCAGCAGCTAGCAGGGAATTTAGCGCGGCCCATGGGGACTCGGACAGGGGAAAGAACTTATGCACCATACCATAGTATGAGAACTTGGAACCCGTGCAAATCCTTGACGGCAGAGCAAGATGGCCGGGGAAACGAAGGCTCAGCAACACAACACCACGATGGAAACGCAGTATTTGGTATTGACAAGTTCCAAACCGGGCGGGGGCGGTGAAGGTAGCGATTTCCATGTCTTCAACCTCGCACCACATCACTACCATCGAGCCGGAGGCCTCCCGCGTACCGGCGCCATCAATGTCACTTGCAACATCGAACGAAGACTGCATGGGGTTATGTCTGCCGACAGCGACTACTACGCGACGTTGATTGTTATGCAGTGGTTGTTTTAGCCCAAGGGCTCCCGCCGCATCTCCGAGGCCGCCATCGACCTCTTATTCGAACCGGAGGCAGGCGGCGGTAGCATCGAGGCCGAGAAGATCTCGTATCCCAGCACTTACAGTCTCATGCCGACAACACAAGAGGAAATCACCACCAAGGGCGGGGAGACCACCGTGGGAATCGAGCAGATCGGCAGCCGATTTAGGTACGGCAGGCAAGTGGGAGAAAACGGTCACCAAGTCGACTTCACATGCTATCACGCTGAGCGGCGAAAAGCAACTTGTCAACAACAGACCGCCTTATCGCATTGCGACGTGGACCCTCTCTGAGAACGAGTCGCAGCGCTCCGGGCTTCCAGCCTCGCTCAAGGTCGCTGTGCTCGTCTCGAGGGAAGATCGGAAGAAATTCTTCTGTAAGCTGTCCTTGAAGTGCAAAACGGACTGGGTAACGGCAGCCGAGGCTCTCTTCAAGAAGATCCCCAAGGATGACCCCATCATCTTCCAACCAGATCCCAGGGACAAGGGTACGCGGCCCTACAAAAATGTGGAATTTGGAAATGATGAGTTGGGAAGTGTCGACCTCGATGCTCTGTGCGATGTCACGTATCGGACAGTAATCAACGACGGGCAGAAAGTTTCAACTGGGTAGTTTTTCGCTTCTGGAAAGGGCTATTAATTATATGTTTAGTTGTATCGAGTAGGACACCATGCCGCAACCAATCCACATCGATAAGCCAACGACGTGCACTGTCGATAACCCAAGTTACACGGCCACCATAAGTTAACTAATTGCATTGTGAATGTAGGGTTGAAGAGAGGCAGGGAACTAGTTGAAAGCTTGATGAAACGGGGTTGGGTTTGTTGTTCGTTGTTCTTATGTATACTCACAAGCCATGCATCCCCAGCACTGAGAGAGGATTGGACGATGGAATTTCCGTTGGTTTTTCTTTCGGCTTCGTTGTCAGAGAAGACACAGCTGCATATCGTACTGCCACTCCGCATCCTTTAACCCTACTCTTCATTCTGAGTTCTTGTTATCGCCAGCAAGATTTTATACTTCTTTCGCAACTTCCAAATCAATGACATTAATAGCAGACCCTGACCCCACTGACGAGACTACCCCTTTACCCCCCAAAGCTGGGCAGCGGCCTGATGAGAATGGTGACGATGCGGCCAGCTTTAAGACGGCAGATCTTCCTTGGGAAGCGGAGGAAGGCTTCCTTGAACCACTATCCTCGATACATGAACTTCAGGTATACATTAACCAGCAGCGGGGCTGGTAGTGGGTAACTCACACTTGGCTTTCCAGTCACCAGAAACATGAGCAGGCTGTCTACCTACATGTGTTAGATCTTTCCTGGAATTTCTCACAATTCTCAACTCACAGACGATCTTGAGAGCCAGCTAACTATGCGATTTAATCCTGCTCCAGGGTAACGAGATAAAGGATGTCTTGCCGAGCAAGATGAAACACCTGGCACATCAGGTTCACGCGGCTAACTAGAGGTTTTAGCGACCAAGCTGCTAGATCGCACCGCCATATTCAACCTTTTCACCCACGACATGTGAGATAGTCTGAAACACATCGAGGCCGCAGACCTAGACAAGGACAGCCTATAGCTGCGCACAGGATACACGTTTATCTATAATATCCAAGGGAAATCCTCGCATGATTGAACTCCGATTGCGAGCTGGAGCTAGCGTCGGAGAGGAAAGCGGAGGCGTAGAAGTTGTCCAGATTTCGCGACTGAATGGCAATCACAAGGCCGCCTAGATTTCTCTTAACTTCGGAACCGGCGACCTGGATGCTGACGGTGGCGGACTATTTCTCTCGGAGACGACTGCTAGCAATTGCGGCCTCCGGAGGTGCAGGTTGGATCGGAGTCTTGCTCACTCATGGGGCTAATCCGAAACTCGAAGGCAGCTAGACTGCCAGTACCGCGTTCTATACAGCCATCACAGAAAATCATGTCGACGTCGCCCGGTTGCCGCTCCAGCATACGCCTGAGCTGCATATTGACGTGGTCTCCTCGGCCGAGATGCAACCCCTAATGCGCGCTGTCCACCACCAAACACCGGGCTTGTATCACTTTTCATCGAACACAGCACAATGGTCGATCTCATTGATAAATAATAAGGCCATGCGTATTGCAAAACGCCTCTTTCCGTGGCTTGCACTAATGGGGATCTTGACATGGTTAAGCTCCTCGTATCGAAGGGGGCCGACATCAACTACACCGGCGGCGGCGAGTCCGACGAACCCCTGTTCACGGTAGTTTATGATAATAAGTGTGATAATGTAAGCGGCAGTTGGGACAAGAGAGCCCCGATGATTTGAAATTTGTCTTGGACGATACATCTGTCGTGGAGTAGGGGCGGCCACAACACACTTCCAGCATCCATCGCTCGCAGCCAAGGTAAAGCATTGGAGGGGAAGCTTCAATTCACGGGGCATATTCTCTACGGGGATGACGAGCTGACTGTAATCTCAATGCCCAACAACCTTCATCCCCTTCTCCAAGTTAGCGAACCCCACGCCAGAGCAAAGGGACGAAACAGTGTATTTACCTACAAGAGGTGATCGACTGACTTTTCGTGCCCATGTAAAACTCTCCACACGCTGCCTCTTTGCATGGTCTCCCGTGAGCCTTCTCACAGAGGCCGGTATCTCTTCAACTACGAGGCTTCCTCCCTCCCTCGGGAGCTGTCGAGTATTCGGCATAAACTGGTCACTCCACTCCCAACCCTTCAGCGTCCGATGGCCCCCGACCCGAGTACGTGGGGCACCAGGGATTGACGGACAAAAGTCGAGTGGGTGCACTGAATTGTGATGGCGGATGTTGCGGCCAGGGGCGACTTTGATGGCGAGTTCCCATTTGGTTATGGTGGACCATGAGACGTGGTGTCTCCTAGCCTCAATTCTAGGGGCCATGCCTGAGAAGTTGGCATCAACCCTTGATAGCCGTAGTCCCTGGTTGGTCTATGTATGGTTACAGAAGAAGATACACGCGGTTACCTCAGACCGCAACATCTGAAGCTCACCGGACAAAGTCATTCAAGTCCTTCGCATCCTCAAAACTGACCTTCCCATCCTTGCCAACATTGGCAACATGGAGGACGACTTTGGGCTCGGGCCTCTTCTCCTCCAGAATTTTGGGCTTGCTCGCCAGCTGGACCGCCTCAGGGACGGCGCCGGCCTCGGCATCCGCGATCTCATTCACGTTCTCCCTGGTCAGAACATCCCGCACCCTCACCCCACGACTTGACATCAGGATCGTCATGGGTCCCTTGAATTGCAGGAACAGCCGGTCTCCCCATATCGTCCGCCTCGCAGTAGTCCTCAATCCGTAGAGCAGCCGCGCCAGGGCCTTGTATGTCCCCGTATCGCGCATGGCGTTCCAAAACCGCGCCACCCGCTCCGGCATCAACCGTCCCGCAGCGTTGGTAATCGAGGTCGGGACGGCCGGGACCTGCAGGCTGAGTCGTGTACTCCTAAAACGAAACGGCAGCGGCGGGTTGCGTGTGACCGGATATGCGACAACGTGCGACGGGTGCAGCACCATCTCCTCCCCCTCACCCAGGGTAAGTTCGTAAATCTGCCCCGACGCGGCAAGCGCCGTCAACCCGCGACCCGTGAGGTGTGTGTTGCCCCAGTGCGCGACCGACAGACCCTGTTGGATGCGCGGGGAGGCGCTCAGTGTGTGCCCCGTCCAAGCGAGGAGCGCGTTGCGCTGCGCAACGATCCAGTCGGTTGTGCCGTCGAGGTGGAGAACGGAAAAGGTTGTGTTGGGAGACTTCGTGCTTATCAGGGCTGTAATGGGTGTCGTCGAGGAGATGCGCTGGTAGAGGAACGGGATCCCGAGGACGGCTCGTCGGAGGGGTGAGAGGAGTGAGAGTGTGGATTGCGCCTGTCCAAGTGAAGTTAGCGAATGCCCTTCGACAAAGCACTCCGAGGGTGTCCTACCTTTTCCACATCGCCGGCGACCGAAACCAGCGTCCCCCGTCGTGTGTAGAGTCGTTGTGAGGCCGAAAGATTGACGGAGAGGAGAGAGTAAGGCGACCCTAGAACCTCGAAACGGGCATCTGGATATTGTCAGATATGCCTATCACCGGTACCAGATCCAACTTGTCATGCATACCTGCTGAGTCTCTTTGCGAACCAGGGTATGCGCCAAAAGCATCAGCGCCATGCCGGGAGTTGGTGGTGGGGGATGCATTAAGTTGAATGCCCCTGCACTGATAGCAAACAAAACCCGGACGTATTGACGGCTGGGCCAGCACAGGCCGTAGTCGTCGAACCAAGGGCGCGTGTCGTCTCATTGTGTGCGGCCAGCCACGAGCGGCGTTTTCGGGAAGCTTGAAGGCTGCTTCAAGTCGGGTTCCAGGTTTCTAGGTTTCTTAGGCCGAAAATGCGGGACAAGGATCGAGCTTCAAGGAAGCACGGGCCACTTCGTCAATTGAAGACTCAAGCTCGATTCATTCCTTTTGCAGATTGAAGTGGAACCCCTGCAGATTTGTTGCCCTTGGTGATCTTGGAGCTCACCGCAGCTTCGCCTGCCAACACGCTTTTGCTCACGCGTCGGGGTGTGTCTGTCCCATTGCGTCTCCCTCCATTTCTTTTCTCCCCCCTCCGTGCCGCCGTAGGTGCGAGTTGTTACGCCATGCCCACCGTAAGGACTGTTGTTAGATTTCGGCCTCTTCTTGAAAAAGAACTCGAAAAGGATGTCATCGTCCGTGCCGACCGTGTCGACGAGGGGAAGCCATTGACTCTGGTCAAGATCCCCAGTCCCAAGAATGGAGCTGAAGAGTTCTCGTTCGCCTTCAACAGCGTCTATGAGCAGTCTACTTCGCAAGAGGAGCTGTTCACCGCCGAAGGCAGGTACCAGACTCAACGCGTCTTCTATCCCCATTGCGTTGCTAACCTCCACCAGTGGCTCCTCACATGAAAGCACTGTTTCAAGGCTTGGATGTAACAATCTTTGCCTACGGTGTAACAGGTACCGGCAAGACGCACACAATGCGCGGTGGACTGCGGCTTGCCGAACGCGGCGTAATTCCGAGGCTCCTGAGCAACGTCTACCGGAGGGGGAAGAAGATCACGAAAGACACCGACGGGGCAACGACGGTGACTGTCGCTCTTTCTTATTACGAAATTTACAATGACAAGGTCTATGATCTCCTCGAACCGCCCGAGAAGCGAACACCCGCCGGCCTGCCTCTCCGGGAGAAGGACGGAAAGACAATGGTTGTAGGCCTGTCAGAACGCGCGTGCGACGATCTCAAAGACTTTGAGAGACTGTACATCGAGGCAAACAACAACCGCGTCACGGCATCCACCAAGCTGAACGCCCACAGCAGTAGGAGCCACGCCATCCTGAGGGTCAAGGTGACACAGACGACCGGGGACATGGTTAAGGAGAGCACCGCTTCCGCCATTGACTTGGCCGGCTCGGAAGATAACCGGCGAACGGACAATGGCAAAGAGCGATTGGTGGAGTCTGCCGCCATCAACAAGAGCCTGTTCGTGTTGAGCCAGTGCATCGATGCGATCTCGCGCGGCGACAAGCGGATCCCGTACCGCGAGTCTAAGATGACGCGAATTCTGTCCTTGGGCCAGAACAATGGCATCACGGTCATGATCCTCAACCTGGCCCCCATTCGCAGCTACCACCTCGACACACTAAGCAGCCTGAACGTGAGCTCCAGGGCGAAGCGCATCGAGGTGCGCGAGATCGAGAACGAGATCGTATACAAGCAGGCCCCTCGCACCAATTCCGGCGGGCTAGGGGGTATCGGCGTGTTGCGTCAGCCACTACGGCCACTGAACAACGCCCACAACGTCCACACGGGGACGCTGGCAGCCAAGGCGGCAGAGAAGGCCGAAAAGCCCGACAAGCCCGTCAAGGCGTTCGCCGTCTACACCGACAAAAAGCCCTCGGTGGCCACCCGAACCATCGTCACCCCAGCAGCCAACACCTCCGCCCCACGACAGCCCCTCCAGCCGAAGCGGCCGACCGAGACATCGGACACCCTCCCACGCCCCTCGAAACTGGCCCGACCGACGGCGATCGGGCAGTCCCTCCTCCGCCAACCACAACCCGTCCAAATCGCACCACCTTCCCCTCAAAAACAAATCTCCATGACCCCCGACCAGATCGAAGCCATGGTCGAGAAGAAAGTGGCCGAGATCCTCGCCTCTCGCGCCGCTGCCGAAGCCGCCGAAGCGGCGCAACCCGCGCCGACTGCAGCAGCTGACTCAAGCCCCGCCATCCCAACCACCACCGTCTCCGCCGCGGCAACGACCCACAACGAAATTAGCGAGGAAGTCAAGCGCCGGCTGGAGGCTCTCGAGCGGCGCATCGACAGCGAGTCACGTGCGGATGACACCCGGGCGGAGGGGCTTCGGCTACTGCTGCAGGCGCGCCAGGCAAAGGAACATGGGGATGACGAGGGCGCGTTGGGGTTGTATGAGAGGGCGCTGCCTTTCTTTCCGGGGCAGGCGAAGCTGCTGGGGAAGATTGAGCGGTTGAGGGTCAAGCTGGGGAAGATGGAGGGGAATGTGGGAAAGAAAGAGAGGAAGGTGAGGGTGGTGAGTGGGGATGAGGATGGGGAGTATCAGGAGGGCACAGAGGCGGATATTGATGAGGAGGAAGACGTGGCTGGTAAGAGCCCTGCAAGAGGCAAGGGGTTGAAAAAGAGGACTGTGAGGACGGGCGGTTTGGACGAGGAACCGCTTGATGGGCCTGCCTCGCCACGGATGAAGCAGTTGCTTGAGATTGTCAACTCGAGGGATCCGGTGTTGATTAAGGGTTTGCATGGCTTTGGCGCGAAGAAGGCGCAGGATCTGGTCGACTGTTTGACACCCAAGGGCGACGAGGATTCCTGCCGCATTGAGTCGCTGGCTCAGTTGCGCGCGCTGCCTGGCATGGGCGGCCGCATTATTGAACGTGCCTACGAGGGGTTGGTTGTTGTTGAGGCGTAACCGTTGCTCGGCATTTTCCAGCGAGGTTTGTTTTTCATGCTTGTGGGTTCAATTGCATACCGGTCTTTCGGTGCATTTGCCCAAGGTTGGCCCTGCATTAGTTGGTCAGCATTCCTATTCGGTTTCCCAACCGGTATTGCATGGCTAGGAGTTTGGGCACGGCGTATTGGCGGCGCATTTGCTTGATTCACATTGTTTAATAAAGGGTGCATATTCCTTCGCAGCTGGGCCTTCTTCGTTACTCGCTTGGTGTAGGGGAATCGAGTTTTTGTTTGCATTTGAGCCGAAGATTGGGAATAAGAAGCGTGTATTAGAAGACATGCATAGTTGTATAGTTAATAGAGTGATGTTGTCAGTCAGGGCCCTCCTTTGAAGAGGGGAAGTTAATTCCATCTCGGTGCATTGGAAAAGGGGCCTTCGTGCATGGCGCTGAAGGAGCCCCACATTGCATCATCGCTGGTTGATCCACCGCCGGATCCGAGCATCGCACCGGGAGCTTCCTCGGAGCTTCGACATCTCCTTCACCGAGGCCGAAGAGGCCGGAGACCGCAAAAACCACTCAGATCCGCCGACAAGAGTCAGACGGAAAGCCCGCCATCTTCGGTTGCTCTAGCTTAGTGCGCTCGAATCAACCTCGGGCCAAACCCCACAGAGACTTTCCCGCACAAATCGCGCTGGGTCACGGCCGAGCCCTCCCCCCGTCAGTGACATTGACCACAAGACGCTGTCGCTCCCTCTCGTGGAAGATGACGCCCCGGTTCTCATCGAAATGGCCTCACAACCGAGAATTTTGATGGCGTCAAGTCTGAGCCGAGCCAAAGCAGCCCAATTCTTGCGACCGCGAGGGGCTTGCGCTTCCCTCTACCGACAACCATGGACAGCTCGACTGGGCGCCTTAAACGCGGTGGCTGCTTCCCCCCTACGAGCTGTTTTCCATACGACAACTTTGCGCCGTTATGGCCCGAGGACACCGAACGTCGAACCGAGCCAGCCTCTCGCCGGGCAGAAGACGACCCTCCCACAACCACAAGATCCCCTCGCGACAATAGACAAGAGCGCGCAAGAGCAGCGCAAGGCTGATTGGGCCATCATGAAAGAAATGTCGCGGTACTTGTGGCCGAAGGACAGCTGGGGGGACAAATTGCGCGTGCTGCTAGCCGTCGGACTGCTGGTGGGCGGCAAGGTCCTCAACGTGCAGGTGCCTTTCTTCTTCCGCGAGATTGTCGACTCGCTGAATGTCGACATCGCCGCCACGGGAGGTACGGTAGCTACCGTAGCGGGGACCATGATCTTTGCGTATGGTGCCTCCAGGATAGGGGCTGTCGTGTCGCAAGAGCTACGAAACGCCGTCTTCTCGTCGGTTGCGCAAAAGGCGATTCGGCGTGTGGCTACCAGGACATTTGGGCACCTCCTGAACCTAGATCTCAACTTTCACTTGTCAAAGCAAACTGGTGGCTTGACCCGCGCCATTGATCGCGGTACCAAGGGCATCAGCTTCCTGCTGACCAGCATGGTGTTTCACATTGTGCCCACCGCGTTGGAGATCAGCATGGTCTGTGGTATATTGACTTATCAGTTTGGCTGGGAGTTTGCCGCGGTGACAGCACTCACCATGAGTGCATACACCGCTTTCACAATCTGGACAACCGCCTGGCGGACCAAGTTCCGCCGCCAGGCCAACGCTGCCGACAACAAGGCGTCCACGGTGGCCGTAGACTCGCTCATCAACTACGAAGCTGTCAAGTACTTCAACAACGAAAAGTACGAGATTGGCCGCTACGACAAGGCCCTTCACCAATACGAGAAAAGCTCCATCAAGGTCGCCACGTCGCTAGCCTTCCTCAACAGCGGACAGAACATCATATTCTCCTCGGCCCTCACAATCATGATGTGGCTCGGTGCCAAGGGGATCGTCGCGGGTTCCCTCTCAGTGGGCGATTTGGTTCTCATCAATCAGCTCGTCTTCCAGCTCTCAGTGCCTCTGAACTTCCTAGGGTCCGTCTACCGCGAGCTGCGCCAGTCCCTCCTCGACATGGAAACCCTCTTCAACCTACAAAAGGTCAACCTCTCGATCAAGGAGAAGCCCAATGCGGCCTCCCTCGTTCTCCCCAAGGGTGGCGAGATTCGCTTCGATAATGTCTCCTTCGGATACTATCCTGACCGGCCGATCCTTAACAACCTGTCTGTGACCATCCCCGCTGGCAAGAAAGTAGCCGTCGTCGGGCCGTCGGGCTGCGGCAAGTCCACTTTGCTCCGCCTCCTCTTCCGCTCCTACGACCCCCAGTCTGGGCGCATCTTCATCGACGACCAGGACATCCGCGACGTCTCGCTCGACTCGCTGCGCCGTTCTATCGGCGTCGTCCCGCAAGACACTCCGCTGTTCAACGACACTGTCGAGCTCAACATCCGCTACGGCAACCTCGACGCGTCGCGCGAGAAAGTCTTAGAGGCTGCCCGCCGCGCCCACATTCACGATAAGATCGAGTCGTGGCCGCATGGGTACCAAACCAAAGTTGGCGAGCGGGGCCTGATGATCTCGGGAGGCGAGAAGCAGCGCCTGGCCGTCTCGCGACTCATCCTTAAGGATCCGCCACTGCTGTTCTTTGATGAGGCCACCAGCGCGCTAGATACCCACACGGAGCAGGCGCTGATGTCGAACATTAATGAAGTGCTAAAGGAGAAGCGCCGGACTAGCGTGTTTGTGGCGCATCGGTTGAGGACTATCTACGATGCGGATGTGATTATTGTCCTGAAGGAGGGGCGGGTGGTTGAAATGGGGAGCCATCGGGAATTGATGGAGGGTAATGGCCTTTATACGGAACTATGGATGGCTCAGGAGATGTCCATGCATGATCAGAGCCTGGGCCGGTCTGAAAGGGAGGCGCCGGTACCAGTGAAATAAAGGACTACGGACATCGTTTCAGGAGACGGATAGACGGCGAGCGGTCTGACTTTGCCGTACACAACACCGTCACGGCTTGTACACCTTTTCGCTTTTTAGGCATAACAAATAACATCCCACTTGACCTTGATAACCATGCCTGATCCGAGGGTTGAATGTGCCTAGCACAATCTCCAACATCTATGGCAGACTAGATAGAAAGCCCAACTTCTGACCTTGCATCTTCATACGTTAACAACAAAGATGAATAACCTCAAGCCACCGTCAACTCCAACCCATTGTAAGGAGTTAAGCCTCGAAGGAATTATCATCGCGCAACACAAGCTCACTCAACCAAGTTTTTATAAGAATGCCTTGTTACGACGGCCCTCTACGCTCCTGAGTTCAAATTAATTATGTCATGTTATTGCCGATTTGTTCAAGATCTGCAACCTTGGGGGCCGAAGGATTCTGTAGGGTAACTTCAAGCAGCTCGGCGCCCGCGGCGACGCAGGAAATACACAAAGTCCGAGTTAGCTCAAGTAGGTTTTTCCAGATGTAGGCAGACACCGAGGCTTTCTTTCCCGATCCCTTGTCCTACCCACCACACCACCCGCTATAGCCGGTTTAATCAGTCGCTTACAGTCCCTCGGGCTTCATAATAGCCGGGAGTACATACAACCCGCGAATAGTGTCGATTGAATTCGTTGTAGCACAGCCACGTTGGGCTGCTGGCATCGCCGTGTTAGGGGAGTCTCTTCGGGCGGTTGAGGACCATATGAATACCTCGTACCGATCCTTAGACTTGGGCTTGGGCAACCAGCGCATGTGGATATGAGTTGTCCTGAGGCCAGAGAAACAGTCTGAAAACCGCAATTATGCATCCTACAACCATTGCGGCCGTGGCCGTGTTGTCCGTTTGCTTTGGAGCTCCCTTGGACGCCCGTCACGCCGAAACCCAGGAATACGAGGAACCATGTAAGCAGGTCCGGAACCACGTCGCTAAGTGGATGTCGGAGAATAATATTGGTAGGTCACCCTCATCCGGCTGACAACAGCTATGCAGCCTAAACATGAAGTAGTGCCAAAAGATTCTACGGAATTTGAACAGGCAATCATTCCAGCGGCCCCCGCCGCACCGATTCCGCCCTCCATCGCCTTTGAATGCCTCAAATCCGTGCCCTTATACAAGGATACGGCATTGGGGCAGTTGAACTTTCTCCGACCCTTGTTTGAGTGGCAAAGTACTCTCGATGATCTTCGCGAACCCCCTGAGGGGTATCTTTCCGAGGGGGTTGATCTTCTTGGTGGCCTCGACAACATCACAGCCAAGCTGCAGGAGGCTCAAGGGAGCTACAAAAATGAGTTTGAGTTCTTGGCCGACTTGTATACCTTGACCTCGGTCAGGCCCAGGGACTTGCATTTCAGATACACCAGCTCCCTTTTTGATCTTTTCAGCTTCCCAAGACCAGCGCGATTTGTCTCGATTTCCACGGACGGAATTTCAGAGCCCAAGATATATCTACATGGTATATCTTCCCCTTACCACACTTCCTGAGGCGTAAATTGGCTGACCGTCCTGTGTCTAGCCGATGTTAACCACGCTGAGCGCCGGTATACCCCATCACCGGTGTTAACAATCGATGGGATCCCAGCTCTGGAGTTTCTACAAAAGGAGTCCGTCAAGGACGGTGGGTGCCACGATCCAGACGCTCGCTTCAATAGACAGTTCCCAAGTCTCGCCAACGACGCAGCTCTGGTCTACACTCCGTCAGAACCAGCAGCGTTGGACCTCCGCGATACCACAACGGTGGAGTGCCAGAATGGAACAAAGTTTGAGTTTAGCAATTTCGCTTTTGTCCGGGGTAACTTCAGCAACATTACCACTGGAGTTGACTTGTACAATGACTTCGGCCGGGGCAACGGCACGGGCCCACGGACTAGCGAAGCCGGGAATTATGTGTTACTCGCGAAGAATTACACCAGTCATTTTGTTGGCTACCCTATCCCTACCAACCGAACCAAGAATGGAAACGTGGCGGGCTTCCTTCCTAACAAGCCCGAGTTCTCGGACGTGGCTGTGCTCGTTGTTAATAGCTTCCAAGGAATCCTCGGTCCAGATACATTTGTTACGCCACCCGGCGTGTACTTCCAGGAGTTCTTCAACGTCACCACCGACTTCATCCGCGCCGCCAAAGCCGCCAACCGCAGCAAGCTAATCCTGGACGTCCAAGGCAACAGCGGCGGCCTCGTCTACAACATCGCCACACTCTACTTCGCCCTCTTCCCCGGCAGCACCCTCCCGCAACTCTCCCGTGCCCGCTCCCACCCTCAATTTGCCTGGCTGGGCGCCCACCTCTGGAACGGCACCACCTCTCCCGCCGCCGGCGTCTGGCCCCTCAACAACTTCATCCGCCCGGACCACCACCCCTGGACCTCCTTCGCCGACCTCTACGGCCCCCACCCAGACACCGGCACCCCTCACGAATACACCAACCCCTCTATCTTCAACGTAACTAACTACACACAACTATTCGCCGCGTACCAGGACCCCCTCAACGCCAACGGCGCGCAGTACACCATCCCCTGGACCGAGCCCCCCTTCGCGCCCGAGGATATCCTCATCGTTAGCGACGGGCAGTGCGGGTCCGCGTGCGCCATGACCGTGTCGATGTTGACGCATGTGCATGGCGTGCGGACCGTTGCGCTGGGCGGGCGGCCGCTGCTTGCGCCGATGCAGGCGCTGGGGCAGACAAAGGGCGGGCCGGTGATCAACTTTGCGGGGATGCCGGAGGTGGATCGGGGGGCGGTGCCTGAGGGGTTGGTGCTGCCACCGCCGGCGGACGGGTTTAAACCACCGTTGAGGGTGCCGGGGTTGGAGGGGGTAAGGGGGTTGGGGTGGGGCGTGACGGTTAGTTTTAATGTGGTGAATATGTTTCCGTGGGGAGAGGAGATGGAAGAGGGGGAGGTGCCGTTGCAGATGCGGTATGAGGCGGCGAATTGTAAGCTATTCTTTACGTGGGATATGGCGAGGGATATTACAGCTGTCTGGGGGGCTGCTGCTGCTGCTGCGTGGCAAGGCGGGCAGTGTGTGCCTGGTTCGACAACGAATGAGGAGGGGACAATGGGGGGAATACCTGGGTACACTGAGAAGGTTGCTGATCAGTATAAGTTGGGAGATGGGCCAGGTGTTTTCGGGTCTGACTAAGGCAACTACCTAGCGGCCGAGGCTTTCCTAGTTTTGTGTTTGTTCTGTTCAACCGCACTACTTAGCGGAGTTTTAGGGGTTCTTACAAGCCGGAAACTAACCGCTCATTCCTGGTAAGCCGTTAATATTCAGCTTACTGCCAACGAGCCGCTCAATCATAAGACGTTTGGCACACAAGCCGCTTGGGCCGCGAGCCGTTGAGTTACTGCTCGCAGAAGAGGACGCTTCGAGGCCCCTAAGCGGCTTGGCATGATGAGCTAGACCATACCAGCTCAGGTATTGTAAGCCGTATGTGAATAGCTTGTCATGGTGAGTTGTTGACACAACAAGCCGTACGTTGCTTGAGCCGTTACCAACGTCGGAGCCATCAGCTTGCAGCTCGTTGGTCTCAAGCGGCTCAAATTGTAAATAGCTTATTTGGGGAGCGGCTCATAGTATTGAAGCGGTTCTAAGACGGCTCATATCCAGTAAGTGGCTCAACTTCGGAGCGGCTCATGAAAAGGAGCGGCTCATGGTAGGGGAGCAGCCCCACATTGACGCATTGCCCAATGGACGCCGACTTCCATGAGTCCCGCGGCGCGCTCTCTTCTCTTCTTCTTCGCCTGAGCTGTTGTCCTGCTGCGCGGTAAGTTAGCCTATTCCGTTCTTTTTTCAGTTGTTATGTTGTTCTCGATGTGGGCTTTTACCGCTTTTTTTCTGCGGTCAATTGGCCCCCTTTTTTTTTTGTCAATTGACCTGCATTTGCATGTCTGGGGCGCTCTGGGCGCGGGTACGCAACCCAGGCAGCGCGGCAATGCAGTAGGCCTTACTCAAAAAACATGCTGAGCACCCGGGGAATGCGTTGATGCTCGACATACGCGTAGATTTGTCCCGGCCTGTCCTGAAGGACATAGCCCACCGCGCCTTTTCGCCAGAGAACTGGCTCAAGGTGTGGACGTATATGGCCGGCCGCATCGACTACGAGCATTCCCACGCCCTTGGCCAATACTACATACGCAGTAAGTAGCATTTCAGGATTAGTAGCGTTATATATCTGCAGCTAGTTAACATTAGTTAGCAATGTTTCAAGGGTTGGCTGTAGAGGTGGCGGAGTACCTTCGTGCTAAGGCGAAGGATACGGACACTGCCCTGGCGCGTCGTCAAGAACTCTTGGAGTTCTACGACGATATGCCGAAGAAGAACCGTAAGTAGCAATTGCTCCCTATTAACATGTCAGTAACTGCTAATGGTGAGTTATACAGAGTATAAGCACTTGACACAGGCCCACTTCCACCAAGTCCTTGAGCGGCAGCGCCGCCAAAAGAAGCTTCTTCTATCAAACCCGACTAGAACCTCCATCAAGCCCCTCATCATCGCTGGCACTGCAGTGCCGCAACCTTCGCGATGACCCGCGCGCTGTACCACAGGGCCAAAAAGGCCATCGTACGGCGCCGCCTGCGGGAGCGTGCTGCCAAAAAGCGTGAGCGTGAGGCGTCACTGGGAGCCCGAGCCGATGACCATGGAGCGCAGCCCTCGCCCTCTCAGCGCCCACGGTACGGCGAGGGCAATACAGCCGATGACGACGTCGCAGAATTCGACGATTTCCACCTCACTGACATCGCTGGCGCTGATGACGAGTGGGTTGACGAGCTGGGTGGCGACCTCTGGGAGCCGTACACTGCCGCAATTGTAGGTCCTCCATCGTGGCCCCCCTGCGATAGTGCCCCTCCTGCGATGATGCCCACCCGACGGTATCCCAGGCTGACTGTATTCCTTTGCAGAACTTTGACGAGAATGACATTGCCTATACCATCATCGAGGGTCTGAACGATGAAGACCACGTCGTGTACCCCGACCCCGAGACCGGACAATACCAGCTCGTCGACAACGCGCCTCTTCAAGAAGAGCTTGCAGCCCTTGCCGAATACCAATACATTGCTGACACGGTCGAGAACCATGACGATGAATCCGAGGGTGTTGCGGCAGTTGATGAACAGGAGGAGGAGGAAGTTGTCGCCGATGCCATCATCGTGGCCACGCCCTGGGCAGAATATCATGCGTACGGTCGCGAACCTAGCGACCCGTTCGAAGGCTCTGAGTCTGTTCCGCAGCCACGCAAGCCACACAAGCTGTCGGATTTCGTGCTCGGCTGAGGGCCTGTACTGTATCGTCCACGGCGTTTCCCGCAAGCAGTACGCAGCCCAGTTGCAGCTGTTGAAGATGCTTGGCCCAGTCGAGAAGGTCAGACAGCTGCCTGAGAGTCTCGACACGCTGAAGCGCCACGTTCGAGAATCTTTGCCGCACATCGACATGCGTACCGCCAAAGCCCTGCCCCTCAACCCAAAAGAAGTTATCGTCCTCACGCATAGTCACTGCCATTATGGCTGGCGAGAACCCAACGCAGGACCTCTTCTTCCTGAACCCGGTAGACTTCCTTGCTCGCATCCAGGGGTCGCAGCTTGTAGGCAATATGCACTACGGTATGGCTGAGCTTGTTGACCAACCCACAGAGCTCTGGCACTCCATGCAGTGGGCGGGCTCAGTGCGTACCACCAGTGGCGAGTTCGCATACTACCCGCCACTGCCGTCGAAGGAACCCATCTTCCCTGGCGACATCGTCGACTTTGAGTGCACCTTCTTCAGCTGCAAACACTGTCATAGCGGCCAAGGCAAATTCCACATTGGCCAGGTGATAGCAGTGTACCGAGATCGCCGTCAACACTCTCGATCCCTTGGCGTTGTTGGTGCCAACCCAGATGCGGAGCTAAGCGACAGTGTTGACCAGGCTGAGGAGGGAGATGTTGTCCTTCTTGTTGCTCGGGTTCTTCGAGGCCGCATTGATCTCGAAGATCATCAAGGAAAGGAGTGTTGTCATCAAGACTAACCCAACGAAGGACGAGGTTGACGATGACGAATGGGTGCTGAGCCATAGCCCTATGGAGTTTGTCCCACCGGCCAAGGTCTCCCGCCGCCGTGATGATATCGGCTTCGACTACGCGTACGGTAGCGCTGTGTCGTTTCCGGACGACCCGAGGGCGCGTCTCGGCCTCCCGCTCATCCGCCGTGTCTTCCTCCAGGACCAAGGAGCGTTGATGCCGCCTTGCCTCAATTTCAGTGACGGCTTTGGCTTATACCGAACGATGACCAAGTCTATCATGGGCTGCTACCTTCAGATCGCTGCTATGCCGAGGCGGGAGCACACGCGCCAGATCAATGTGCTGCCAGTCACCCTGGGTCCGCATGGCGCCAACCTCGAGGATGTTATGAAGGCGCTGATGCCACTCAAAGCCCTCGACCGCGGTACTGTTGTTGATATCAACGGGGTACAAACACTCCTCTGCGCACCCATTATCGCCTTCACCGGCGATATGCCACAACAACAAGACAACTCTGGCTGCCTTGGTGTTGCTGCCAACTTCGGATGCCGGGGTTGTAAAGTCCCTGCCGACAAGCGTGGGGACCTCGACTTCGACGTCTTGGACCAGACACGCGCCCATATGGAGATGCTTCGGCTTCGCCGTGCGATGGACGACATGCAGCAGAAGTACCGCAAGCAGGCCTTTTCGACCCAGCACGGCCTATCGATCGATGCTCCTGCTGTTCAGCATATCGCTCCAGCCCTGGACCTCATCAGCGGCCGACCCAGTGATACAGCGCATTCGGAGTTCAACGGCATCACCAAGATGACCCATCAGGTCCTCCTCGACGATGCGCTGAAACCCGAGTCTGTTGTCGAGTACTCCAAGGTCCTGCGGCGGATGCCCTTCCCCCCTGGTTGGGGGCGGATCCAGTCGCCATACAACGTACTCAAGTACAGCCTCCAGGAGCACACCCGTTGGTCCGTTTTGATGACCATCATCTTGTTGCTTTGGTTCAAGGAGACCGACATCAAACGGCCCTTTGTGCGGGCTATGAAGGCGGTCTTCTCACAAACCCAGCTCACCTGCACAGGCCAAGCTGCTGACATGGTGATAGCCACGAAGGTCGAAGGCCGCAACGTCGTCGAGATTCTCACAATCGCGCTGGCGGCCATTGTCAAGACCAACTCGATCCTATCGTCGGCCGAGCCCGGGAACGGGGCAGGCAGCCCGAGGCATGTTGCAGGAATACTTGAGACTATCCTTGTCAGCCGACGCTTGTTCCAGTTGATGTGTGAGGCTGCATCGCGCTCTACTAACACTGCGACTGGTGCGGCGGCAGCTCGTCGCCGCGGTGCCACCGCCGGCAATACATCTGTTGTAGGATCCCGCGCCACCTCTCGCGCCGTCTCGCCTGCAGGCTCCGAAGCACAGGTCGCCATCGTACCGGTCGAGGTTGTCGAGGAGGACGAGGAAGCTGTTGACGATGCTATCAACATTGGCCAGCTTACCGTCGCCCAGAAGGCGACCAAGTACCGACAGTGGGCGCAGCGCCCCAATGTGCACGTCGGCCTGCACTACATCGATGTGTTCCGCCGGTATGGGTTGGCGTCGTTGTTGATGGTTCTTCCTGGAGAGTTGAAACACAAGTAAGTGATCGTGTCCCATGAAAATTTTGAAAAACTCTGCTAGTGGTTCAGAGCGTCGTCATGTGCCGCCCGATACAGCTGCTGGGTTCTCCGAACCTTATGCCCACTCTGCGGAGACTCTGCGGGAACTCTGCGGGCGCTGTCTGATCTACAACAAGTACCTTTAGGGGAGTTGGTAACGGGTGCAGTACGCTTCGATTTAGGCTGACAGGCTTACAGGCTGTGGAAGAACATTGTGACCACGACGAACCATCGAAACCCTGAGAAGGACTGCCTGACATACGAAAATATGCTGCAGACTGTGCGCTTGACACTGCTTGACGGTTTCTCACACGACGAGCCGGACATCACTGCCAAGCTGAAGGGTCTTGCATCTGCGGCTCCTACACTGTTCTCAGTGTTGCTTCCTCGCGAAAGTCTTGGCCGTACCGATCTGGAAGACGAAGACGACCCATCCATCGGCGCCAGGGTTGTCGATGACATGTCCCATCCCGACGCGCGTGTCCTTGTATTCGTCAAGACGCGTGTGTACAAGGCAATGGGATTCCCTGTCCGGGAGGGCGAGTTAAGTCTGCCCTTTTCCATTCAGCTACGCGATGCGTATCAAGCCGACTATGGCAAGAACATTGTGGTGACTTCGAACTGGCCGATCAGGTGGTGGAAGAAAGTCTCGTTTGGAGATAGGTATGTGGCCCCCATGCTTCCTCATTTCAGCGCTAACCCGCCTCAACCCTGTTAGCAACAAGCCTATGGGCGCGCAACGCCTGGTCTATCAACGGGGTCAGTATGTGCGTTACCGAGTCAACAAGCTTGGTAGGCTCGAGCATATTATGACGCACGAAGCTGTGCACGGTTCGTGATCCTTGTCATCGTCTCGGTCATCGTTATGCTACCCTCGATCCATCTTCACGCTACCTGCTCGGCCATCATGGTTTTGCCATCAAGCCGCAGGCTCCCCTGTCAACGGCGTTCTGCACACTAGGTTGGGTCGCCGTACTGGCCTGCTAACATGCTTCTGTCACCCAGGTTCCGACCAATCCTACGTCTTTTTAGTCATCACGCCTCTGACCGATACCGGCGCTGCTGAGGAACTGACGCGCCTCCCGATTCTGAAGATGGCGCAGGCAATTGAGGATGAGGACTGCCGCCACGAGGTCGTTGGCCTGCCGAGTCTCCATCACGACTGCCTCTACATGGTTCCATTCACGGCACAGCCCGGCCGGCGCCTCTTGACAGCGGGCGCAGGCACAGAAATGACAGAGTTGACGGCCGACACAGAGCTTCTCTTCGTCAACTGGCGCGTGCAATTTGCCTGATCTGGCAGTGCGCTTGGGCGTGAACCCATTGAAACCTGAATGTACGGAATACTGCAGTGTTGCGTGGACTGGATCATGGATGCGCCGGCGCATGGTGGGAAAGGGGTGGCGTTGTACGGATTAGAGAGGCGCAGGGACAGTCAGCACAGTTGAGACCATTGCCGTAAACGGGTTCACATCTGAACGGCAAGAGCTGCCCCAAGCGGGTCTTCCGCAAGGATCGCCGCTGTCTCCGATGTTGTTCCTCTTCTTCAACGCCGACCTAGTGCAGCACAAGATCGACGCGAACGGAGGCGCAATTGCCTTCGTGGACGACTACACTGCCTGGGTAACGGGCCCGTCAGCGGAGTCGAACCGCACTGGAATCCAAGCTATCATTGGCAAAGCCCTTGACTGGGAGAAACGGAGCGGTGCGCAGTTTGAAGGCGAAAAGACAGCCATCATACACTTCACGAGGAACATGGAGCGATTTTCAGAACAACCGTTCTCGGTCAAAGGCGAAGTGGTCAAACCGAAGGAAAGTGCGAAAATCCTAGGTGTCGTGATGGATCGCGAACTCCGCTACAAGCAGCACATTGCTAGGACGGCAGCTAAGGGCCTCGCAGCCGCTCTGGCCCTGAAGAGGCTGAAGATGCTTTCCCCGCGGACAGCGAGACAGCTATTTGTTGCGACAGTAGCCCCGGTCATGGACTACGCTGCCAATGTCTGGATGCATGGGTGCGGGGAAAAAGCACTGAGCTGGCTGAACAGGGCGCAGAAGATCGGGGCCCTGGCCATCACGGGAGCCTTTCGAACCGCAGCAACAGCCGTGGTGGAAGCTGAAGCGAGCATCCACCCCGTACGAGAACGACACGCCCAGGCGGCAGCCAGTCTGTGGATCAACATCCACACGCTACCCGGAACGCATCCCCTTGCCATGAAGAAAGTCCGGAACACCGTACGATTCGTATCTCCGCTGCAGAAAATTGCCCGCGTGGCCGAAGGAGTACGAGTCGACCGGATGGAGACAATCCAGGAATACGCCGTCCCGCCCTGGGTACCTCGCCTACGACCGACGCTCGAAGCCGATCGAGGGAAGGCGGCCGAGATGGTCAACAAAATTTCGGGAATCGTGATCGCAACCAGCTCATCCGTAAAGAAGGGCATTGTTGGCATGGGCGGCCTTGCACGGGATACTCTCTTCAACAGAACTAGCGAGACTGTGACAAACTATGCTGTTGTTCTTGGGACAAGGGAAGAGCAGAACCCATATACAGCAGAGCTAGCAGCCATCGCAATGGCCCTGGAGAAGTTACCGGCTAGCATCTGCCACAGGCACATCACCGTGATCACTAGGAACCAGTCAGCGCTGGCAGCAGTTGGACAGCCGCGGCAGCAATCCGGCCAAAGCATCATACGGCAAATCTACGACTTGGCCAGGCTGCACCGACAAAGAGGGAACTCGGTCAACTTTCTGTGGATACCAGCGGAGATTGACTTCGCGTTGGGGTCAGATGCCAAGGCAGCAGCCCAGAGAGCGTCGAAGCAAGGACGCACACCCGACTCCCAAATGCCCCAGGCCAAGTCTACCGCGATGAGGCTGGCAATGGAAAGACAACTGACGACAAGAGTTCTACCTGTAGGCGTGGGCAAGTTCTCAAAGGCCATGGACGCAGCACTACCAGGCAAGCACACGCGCGATCTCTATGACAAGCTGAAGCGAAGGGAGGCCGGCGTATTGGCGCAGCTCCGAACCGGAATGGCGAGACTGAACGGCTTTTTGAGCAGGATTGGGGCGGTCGAGTCAGACCTTTGTGCCTGTGGACAAGCGAGGGAATCAGTGGAACACTTTCTTTTCCGATGCGTGAGATGGACAGCTCTGAGGGAAGACATGCTGCAATGCACAGTGGCAAGACGAGGAAGCCTCTCGTTCTATCTGGGAGGGAAAGCGCCATCGGATACAAGGCATTGGTCACCAGATATGAAGGCAGTCCGGGCGACGATCAAATACGCAATGGCAACAGGAAGGCTGGAGCTGAATGAAGAGGAGAGTCTAAACCAGTCACAGTAGAAGAAGCCGACACTCAACACCACGAGCCTCAACCACGAGCCTTAACCAGCAGGTCCCGCTTTAGCTGCTGAAGATAGGACGCTGAACACTTGGAGAAAGTAGCCTCCAAGCTGATCTGCTAACAACAACCAAGGCAAGAGGTAAATGGTGCAGCGAGAAAGAGGGAAGAAGTAGGGGGCTTGTACGAGTTAAACGCAAAACGATCTGATCCGGATGTAGCTAGCGTGCTAAGGCCCTATAGGCCCAGTGCCTCCGGGCGAAATAAATTCCATCCATCCATCCAAGGACAGTGTGATAGAAGCAGTCTACACACGGTCTGCTGGTAACAAACTTCTCTTGCGTGGCAGACTTGCAACTTGATCAAGCCCCCAACACTGGATTACATTTCCTTTGAGACATGCATAGGGCTCCCAAATGCGCCTCGTGGCTCAAATGATCCCAGCGCGGCACTCACAAACGATGTTAAGCGCGCGGCACGCGACCAACCGCAAGGCCAAAGCCTGTTGCCAGCCTGAGAGTGAAGGAAACATACAGTATGTCTTCCAATTTGTGCACTGGGCGAAATGCGGCTGGAGAAGATTGAATGCCACTTTGCCACCCCATCGCGAAATCGCATTCTCCCGGGACAAGCCGTGTTGGTTGAAGCTGCGAATTGTGTTGTTGCGTGGGAGACGCTGAGTGGCCGGATAGGCAACAACACGGCGCGTAGAGTTCCGGGCTGTCGGGACAATCACCACCTTACAAGCACTTCACCTCAGCTCTGCGGTGTCGTCGGATGAGGGGTTCAAACAGGGACCTCTGAAGGCAAACCTGCACAAGAGGTACCGGGCGAAGGCCAACTAGGTAGACTCTTAGATTTTAACATTGCCAATTTGTGGTAAGTTACTTGATTAACTGATTACTTCGGTACCTGGCGTCGTAGATTGCATGTCGAGCCTGCTCAATGCTGTATCCCGGAGAGTGCTGCGAATGTTGGGTCAAGTCTCGCAGACCGCTAAATCGATGGCCGTCGAGCTTGTCTGGTCAGGTTTGGGCGGCGTTCTGCACAGTATCCGGACGGCTTGTTCGAGCAGCTGCTTCGCCTGCTGACCAGTGAAATTGAGTGGCTTACCCTCGGCGGCTAGGATTCCCGTTCGATTCGGCCCCCTTGGCCGTTCCCTCTGTCTCAACAGTAGGCTTTCGAGCTTGTAGCGAACTGTAGTTGTGATTGCTAACTGGAGAACTCCCAGAGCTCTCCAGCACGGGTGACTATATACTATCTAGGCTTCCTAGGTACCGGCGTACCTTTTGCTGGGAACGTGAGGAACGGTGATCGTTCCTCTCGTTCCAGACTGGATCCTGGGAACGGTCGCCGTTCCCTTCGTTCCTCTGCTGATTGGTCTGAGGCCCATTCTTAATGATTGGCTGGGAACGCTTCCCGCGCGTGCCCCCATCGGGGCGTGGTACGCGACCATAACCGTGACACTCTATCAACGAATCGCAGCTTTGCAACGGACTGAGCGCGAGATGCTGGCTGAGAACCAAGATTTAACACGCCGGCTTTCAGCGGTCAAACAACACCACGAACGCAGAGCGCGTCAGTGGAACGAAGGTATTCGCCGCAAAGAAACCGAGTACGAAGCTCGAATGCGAGAGTTAGGCGAGCAGCTGTTGGACCTTGCTAGCCGGAACCCGCAAAAGCTCCCACATATCCTTTCCAATGACCAGATTTCGGCGTGGTTCAATGAACAAGACTTGTGCTGGAACCGATGGGCGACAACCTTTGGTCATCAGGATGGGAATCGACTCGGTGGCAGTCTCCATCCACTGCAGCTGCAAGAGTTGTGTGGCGACGTCAGGGGATTCGTTCGTATGACCGACGCGGGCGGCCTTCCAGCAGAGCTCATCGACGGTGGCAAAGAAGCTGTGCACACCCTTCTAAACGGCATGCTGGCGCACTTCATCTGCGCTGAAATTATCGCGTCGCCGATGTGGGTGTTTGTCGCCGCATCCCTCGGGACTCTGGAAAGCCCTGGTATCGTTCCATCCAAACCTGTCCCGGGTCTGCCGGGCTTTCGCATGGACATGAATAGCTTTGGCGACGTCGCACCCCTCCGAACCGAGCCATTCCAAACCCCGCGGAGCCCCCAGTTCCCCCCGCCCCTGATCACTTCCATGATGCCATCTCTTGGCACCAGCGCCTCATTTCTTGGTCTGCCTCTGAAGGCGGATATGGAACGACTTGTGCACATGCTCACAGATGGTTAGTTGGACTCATGAAAAATCTTCACACATGTTCTTTGCTAACACGCCTTGATAGCTCAGGATGACGACGCCAGAGTGACTGCGCATCACTGGAGGGCTCAGATGATGCGGCTGTTTGCCGACGGAGGCTTCAGTATCAAGGATGTTGCCGCTGCGGGCCGGAACGAGTCTCGCCGGACATTTGTGGAATCACGTCTGAACTATGCACGGAAGCTGAAAGAACGTTTTCTGGGTGGCTCTGCGCGGTTTTTACTCCAGGACCAAGACGCAGGCGGTATCGAGAAGCTCGAGGGTATGCTGACGGATATCATCGACGACGCCTTAAGATTCTCAAGCAGATTATGGACACGGATGGCACCCGTACGTTTGCACGGATGGAGAGATTTGGGAAGCAAGGAGGTCAGGGCCACAACCCCCCTTGTCACCCTCTGTCATGCCCAGGTCGAAGTCGAATCTCACAACCACCGTACCGAGGCTTCCAAAGAAAAGCCAGCTGGCTCGTCACAGCAGGACAGCCAAACCGACCACCCAATGGTGATGGCCGTGCAACCGGCAGTAATCACGGACAGCATCAACCTCCCAGTCGCCAGCGGCGAAACCAAAGACGACGGCATGGCCTTGGTCTGGCTGAAAGCACGGGTCATGGTTGCAGGCCCAATGTCAGTGGAAGCCCAAGAGTCGTCCGATGCAGTGCGCCAGACTTCAACACGACTGAACAAAGGGCGGACGGATGAGCCCGCGATCACGTCGCCGAGTTTGGAAAAAACAGTACATACCCCTCGCACTCCTGAGGCATTCGAAGTGTTGCCCGCTGCATCGTTTCAGGCGTCGGCAGAACCAAAGGGGTAGACGCACGGATTATGGCGTTGGCCTACCTCCGATCGAAAGTTCAAAACGGCGCTTGGGTGAAGGTAACACTTGTTGAACAGATACGATCATTGTTTTTCTTTGCACACGACAGGCGGTGTCTGGCTCTACACTTGGTTTATGGGCTGTGATTTTGTGGGATCGTCGGACGACCATGTGGTCACGGTATTTATGAAAGGAATGAAAGCAATTTCATACTTTTTTCCGAATCATTTGTTGATAACTATCCCTGATTTCCTATCCTAACGCGACATCTCTGGTGTTCAAGGTGGATCCTGCACAACATAGAAACGGAAGAACTTGTGATACAAGGTTTTGTGAGAAGTGAGAAAAAATAGCCCGATGCGCGTGGAGCAAGCACACGAGCAGAGAAATCACCCGGGAGCCACGGCGGACGGGCTTCGAACCGTCAATCTCGCCCCAGATCGCTATTACCGCGGCTACGCCACGGCGCGACCTTGGGGGCTTAATTGACTGTCTTCGCTCGGTAACTAAGGTCTTTTCGCACCAATGGTGATGGTAACGCTTTCTTGGTGTTTTGAATAATACACACACACACACACACACACACACAATTTATTCCGCCCGGCGGGCCTAACCCGAAAGGGCAACTATCATGCAATCTACTAATACATATCCTAAAATGGATCCTGGTCTCATGAAGCCCGTACATCCTCCTTTTCTGGCTTAACTCCTTACAATCTTGCCCTCTCTGCTGCGGGTGCTCGTGGGTTAGTAGTACGAAAAGTAAGCTGGCTTGAAGGCTAGTCTCCAAGTGTCCAACGTCCTATCTTCGGCGGCTGAAGCGCGCTTACTCGGTGTGGCACGAGATGAAGGAGGGGTGTTAGTCGGGGTTTAGGATGGTGAGGTTAGTTTGCTTCATTCTGTTGTTGTTCTGTCCTCAGACGACCTGTGGTAATGGCAAAACGTATCGTCGCCCGCACGGCCCGCATGTTGGGGGACCAGTCCCTTGTCATCCGAGGGCGACTTTCCTCCCAGGTAGAAGGAGAGGTTCCCCCTGTGGACATCCGTACATTGCAGCATCTCCCTACGGTGTTGATCCCATTGCTTGCATCGGAAGAGGAAGTGGTCCACTGTCTCTCTGGCTTGTCCACACGTACACTGATCTGACGGTGCTGCTTTGATGCGATGCAGGTATGTGTTGAGCTTGGCCATGCCTGTTCTAAGCTGAGCAAGCACGCCGGCCTCGCTTCGGGACAGGTGGTCGTATAATAGTTGGGTGTGCTTCCCTGGTAACGCTATATCGACTCTCTTGGAATGTCTGCCCACTTTGTCAGGTAAGGACGTGGGCGGTGCCCGCTTTGCCCATGCGATACGGAGGGCTGTTGACCGCATGGCAGGATCCTGCGTTTGTGGCGTAGCGTCCTGCCGTGTTGCTTCCTTTGCTTTCGCTTTGGCTGTGTTCAGGAGCTCGTTTTTGGTACCCGCTTGGATCCAGACGACCGATATCGTGTTTCCCGCCTTGCGTAAGGCACTTATCGCATCGTACGCCTGACAGAGATATTGTTGTCCTGATTGCTGGTGTGGTCGTTCCAAGGCCATCACGGCTGCCTTGTTGCTGGTGGCAAGGATGATCTTTCGGTACCTGATATTTCGAATCAACCTCAACGCGTACCCAATAGCCGCAAGCTCGCCTGAGAACGGGTTTTGCTCCGACCTGGAGCCCAGCGTCACACTAAAGGCTTCGTTCCTTGAGCCATCTCGCATCGGCAGCGGGAGACGGACGACTCCTCCGATCCCGACCATGTTGTTTCGTGCGGAGCTGCTTACGGCGATCCGGACCGCCCACTCTGTCTCTTTTTGCTGGATGCCCGTTCTGTCAACCGTAGTGCGGACTCGCCTCTCCCATGGCGCTAATACGACGGGAGCGATGGTTTCGAGGCTGTCCAATGGGACGTCCTTGAGGAGATCTGCTACTTGAAAGAAAGGGGAGCGGTAGGATCTCCGGAACTTGCGCATCCGGGAAGTGGTGTTGCGGAGTGGATTCGTCTCTGGTAGGGTGTGAATGTCCGTCCACATCTTGATCGCCATCTTCCAGAATCGATCTTGAGCCGTGGGGATGTGAGCTTCTGCTTCTGCTACGCGTGTTGCTACCGTGCTGAACGTTCCTATGATCCCTTGCGCCGCGACCCTCTGCACCCTGTGTATGGCTGGCGTGGTCTTCCAATTGCATTGGTGCATCCAGACGCTGGAGGCGTAGTCCACCACTGGCGCGACCATGGTAGTGAACAGCTGCCGCGCCGTAGCCGGAGACAGACCACTGAGCCGTTTCAGCTCCATCGCCGCGCTGAGCCCTTTGGAGGCCGCTCTTGCGATATGCTCCTTATACCTGAGCTTGGCATCTATGACTACTCTAAGAATTTTGACGTGGTTTTTCGGCTGAACATCTTGACCCTTAATGGTAAAGGTCTCGGAGTTGGCTTTGTAGGCCTTGCGGGTAAAGTGGATGACGGCCGTCTTGTCTGCTTCAAATGTCGCCCCGCTTCTCTTTTCCCAGTCTAGTGCTTGGTCGATGATTGCTTCAATGCCCTTGCGTGTGCTCTGTGCCGTCGGTCCTGTGACCCAGGTGGTAAAGTCATCGACAAAGGCTATCGCACCACCGTTGACTATCGATCTTTCTCTGGACCAGATCCGCGTTGAAAAAGAGGAACAAGATGGGGGAATAACCCTAATACCTCCAGCGACTCGGCCTGCTTCCATCGGCCTTGGTTCCAAAACGTCGACGCCAGGTTGGTCATGCTGGTCAGCGTGTCGGGAATGCTCCTCGCCCAGTACCCTCTTTCTCGTCTCCATCACTTGTACCTCTAGCGACTCGGCCTCCTTCCATCGGCCTTGGTTGCTGTACGTCGACGCCAGGTTGGCCATGCTGGTCAGCGTGTCGGGATGCTCCTCGCCCAGTACCCTCTTTCTCGTCTCCATCACTTGTACCTCCAGCGACTCGGCCTCCTTCCATCGGCCTTGGTTGCTGTACGTCGACGCCAGGTTGCCCATGCTGGTCAGCGTGTCGGGATGCTCCTCGCCCAGTACCCTCTTTCTCGTCTCCATCACTTGTACCTCCAGCGACTCGGCCTCCTTCCATCGGCCTTGGTTGCTGTACGTCGACGCCAGGTTGCCCATGCTGGTCAGCGTGTCGGGATGCTCCTCGCCCAGTACCCTCTTTCTCGTCTCTATCACTTGTACCTCCAGCGACTCGGCCTCCTTCCCATCGGCCTTGGTTGCTGTACGTCGACGCCAGGTTGCTCATGCTGGTCAGCGTCGAGGGATGCTCCTCGCCCAGCACCTTCTTTCTCGTCTCCATCACTTGTACCTCCAGCGACTCGGCCTCCTTCCATCGGCCTTGGTTCCAAAACGTCGACGCCAGGTTGCCCATGCTGGTCAGCGTGGAGGGATGCTCCTCGCCCAGCAGCCTCTTTCTCGTCTCCATCACTTGTACCTCCAGCGACTCGGCCTCCTTCCATCGGCCTTGGTTGCTATACGTCGACGCCAGGTTGGCCATGCTGGTCAGCGTGTCGGGATGCTCCTCGCCCAGTACCCTCTTTCTCGTCTCCATCACTTGTACCAACAGCGACTCGGCCTCCTTCCATCGGCCTTGGTTCCTGTACGTCGACGCCAGGTTGGCCATGCTGGTCAGCGTCGAGGGATGCTCCTCGCCCAGTACCCTCTTTCTCGTCTCCATCACTTGTACCTCTAGCGACTCGGCCTCCTTCCATCGGCCTTGGTTGCTGTACGTCGACGCCAGGTTGCCCATGCTGGTCAGCGTCGAGGGATGCTCCTCGCCCAGTACCCTCTTGAACGTCTCCATCACTTGTACCAACAGCGACTCGGCCTCCTTCCATCGGCCTTGGTTCCTGTACGTCGACGCCAGGTTGCCCATGCTGGTCAGCGTGTCGGGATGCTCCTCGCCCAGCAGCCTCTTTCTTGTCTCCATCACTTGTACCAACAGCGACTCGGCCTCCTTCCATCGGCCTTGGTTCCTGTACGTCGACGCCAGGTTGGCCCATGCTGGTCAGCGTCGAGGGATGCTCCTCGCCCAGTACCCTCTTTCTCGTCTCCATCACTTGTACCTCTAGCGACTCGGCCTCCTTCCATCGGCCTTGGTTGCTGTACGTCGACGCCAGGTTGCCCATGCTGGTCAGCGTCGAGGGATGCTCCTCGCCCTGCACCCTCTTGAACGTCTCCATCACTTGTACCAACAGCGACTCGGCCTCCTTCCATCGGCCTTGGTTCCTGTACGTCGACGCCAGGTTGGCCATGCTGGTCAGCGTGTCGGGATGCTCCTCGCCCAGCAGCCTCTTTCTTGTCTCCATCACTTGTACCAACAGCGACTCGGCCTCCTTCCATCGGCCTTGGTTCCTGTACGTCGACGCCAGGTTGGCCATGCTGGTCAGCGTCGAGGGATGCTCCTCGCCCAGTACCCTCTTTCTCGTCTCCATCACTTGTACCTCCAGCGACTCGGCCTCCTTCCATCGGCCTTGGTTGCTGTACGTCGACGCCAGGTTGCCCATGCTGGTCAGCGTCGAGGGATGCTCCTCGCCCTGCACCTTCTTTCTCGTCTCCATCACTTGTACCTCCAGCGACTCGGCCTCCTTCCATCGGCCTTGGTTCCAAAACGTCGACGCCAGGTTGCCCATGCTGGTCAGCGTGGAGGGATGCTCCTCGCCCAGCAGCCTCTTTCTCGTCTCCATCACTTGTACCTCCAGCGACGAA